GCAGGATGCTCCACCACCTGCCTGGACATCATCACGTCCCGTTTTTGAGGCTCTGCGCATGCTCTCCCATTTGCGAACCGGTATCAAAGGTAAGTGAATACTACCCCTTGACTTCGTAACATCATCAGTGCTGAAATGAAATGAAATAAAATGAAACATCTGCAAAAAAACAACCAAGCTCAGAGAACACCAAGGTTCCTAAAATAACATTATTAGTTTGATAAATTCTCTAAGTAAAAGTTCTGCATTGCTTTGTGAACCTGCTTTGATGGGTATTCAATCAAAGAACCATACTGGAACTTTGCATAGCCCTGTTAGGTATATCTATTGAATCTGGCATATTTTGCTCACCGTTTTTCACTATTCTTTTAGTTTTGCTATTTCCCCAGATCATCCCCAGAAGAGTTTTGATTCAGCACAACTGAATGGTAGCCAAATTGGCACAGTAGGATATTGTGATGACTATTGCAATGATGATAAGAAACAAAAAATGGAATTGGAGCAGCAAACTCATTAGTGAATACAAATTCACTGGAAACTAGGTTGAATCAAGAGCCTGGTGTGTCAGACTATATTGACAATACAAATTCCATTTATTTTTGCTGTTTTATTATAGGGCACAATGTGAATAGCAAACTTGAAACCTGGGTGGATTTAATATATATTCAACATTAAACATAGAATAGGTCTACCAGCTCTGGACTGCAAAGTTCCAGGTGGCCCTTTAATGGCAGCAAAAAAATAACTTTTTTATCTTTCTTGTCATTTAGGGGTCATCAGATTTTTGGTGGCCCTCATTCTAGGATTTCCCCCCATTTTAGCTCAGTCCTATAACATATGAAGAGATAAAAGCAATATTTTGGAGCTTAATACAAGAGTCTCAAGCTTCTGTAAGAGTTATAAGTTTTGGATTTTCATTTTTTTCTATATTTCTCACAAATATCCTGATTGGAATCCTATGGTAAAGCTTGGAAACCTTGCTCAAACACATATACTCAGAGCTTTATTGAATACTTTGCTTAGACTGATCTTCATTTTAATATCAAATAAAACATTTCTTTCTCAATGTTACAGAACAAAAAAATACTAAATACACCAAGTGAAGTGTCAAGAAAAAGCAACATAGCTTTATGGAATATTTCCAACGGTCAATAAGAAATAACCTAAAATAACACAATAAGAAATAAGACAAATTTATTGTGTTAATCAATCTCCTCTTCTATTCTTACTATTTACAGTCTTCTGTATTCTGTGAACTACAAATCAGGAACTGAGATAGCAAAGCACTAATGTGAGACTTATGCTGATGTTAAATTAAATAATTCTTCCTAAAACAAAATAAGGTGTTTCTATCTTTCAGGTTGAAAGGTGAGTAATTTTTTTAAAAAAAGCTATTTAACTGTTGTTTACTGAAATTCATTGTCAACTGGTAATCTTGATCATTCTTTGTTAGCTCACACTTGAAATGAACAAAATAAATTAACACACTTGAATAAAATTTTATTAACTAGAAACAACTTTGCAAATGTCGCACAAAATATCGAAGGAGAACCCATGATTACAAAAGTAAGCCTCAAAAAAGGAACAGATCGAAAGTCCAACTTGCTGTAAAAGTTCCTTATAGACAAAAATAACCAGGCTGATAGTACATTAGACCAGACCATTACCAAAATAAGGAATGTATGTAAAAAAAAATACCCTCCCTTTTTATGAACTTTGAATCCCTTAATTTGGGGTAGAGTCAAGACAACTGGATGCAGCTGAGCATTTACTGGCAGGATGCCTTTCCTGATGCCTATGTGGAGTTTGCAGCAGATATTTTTTTTTCTTTGTGCCCTCAGAGAGTAACATCTCCTGCTACCTAGGATTGAACTCTAAACCTTCCAAGAATTCAACATGCGTATTATATTCAGCAGTGGATGAATATAATGGTTTCATAATTTTGCTACAGTAAAGTTACTTATTGAAGCCTTCTTGGTGGTAGGAATACATTCTATAGCATTTTGTCTTGTTAGTCAAGAGAAGGACAGTGCCTATAATATATTCATTGTTATATGAACCATTAGCAAAACAATTGACCTATGGCTGAATTTGCATCTAACAATTAAATTTTCTACTCACTTATCACTTTTCAGGTGTCTTATTTCTACCACCTATGCCGATTACTACACTCTATCTCTTCTTCCCCATTCCTAAGACAACCCAATTTTTACAGTAACTTCAGGCAACGCATTATTCTTCAGAAGAAGTTGTTTCTTCTTCCAGAGGCCCTACTGTTCAGCAGCAGTAGCAGGAAATCCCACCCATTGTTGTGAGAGATTTTGGATAACTCTCTATCAAATTTTGACTTTTCACACTAGCCTTCAGAAAATGGCAGATTTATTTCTTCTTTCCATATGAGCTTGGATCAATCCAGATGCATTTCATCTGCAACAATAATTATGAAAATGCACACATTTTCCTATCCTTTGCTTTTGGTCCTTGGATGCCACCGTTGCCCCTTATGTTCCTCAGTTCCACTCCCTCTCCCATCTCAGCTGGAAAAAGAGAGAATTCAAGGTGGAATATTCTGAATACAAATTAAGAGGAAATGTTTAGTAAAATTCTGTTAGCTTTATTCCACTGTAAATGGAAAAAACAAAACAAAAACAGAATAAATCTCAGTGACGACAAAATAAAAGGCTTGAAATCCTGGTCCCACTGCCCCCGTCCCCATGGGGATGTCAATATTGTTAATATCATCTATCTATCTATCTATCTATCTATCTATCTATCTATCTATCTATCTATCATCTATCTATCTATCTATCTATCTATCTATCTATCTATCTATGATATCACACTCCTCTCATTCTGCAAAGAACTTGTTACTTTCTTCTAGTGCTCAAGTACTGAAGAAAAAGGATTAACAAAAAGGACAGCACCAAGTCATGGTTGCGGCTCCTGATTCATGTCATCTATAGGATCTGTCCATCACATATCCAATTATTTAAATAAAGTATATTTTCTATTATAAATTTAGAAATTCTGCTGGCTGACCAGTTGCATTATTGCCTTTCACAAATATTTATTGGATTTCTTTCAATATCCAGCCTCTTTGTTTTGAACTCTGAAATGATCAATATAATTTTTAATGTATAATTGATTTTTGCTATGAGAGATACTATCAAGGAATCTTGGATACATTGCAGAACTGTCACCAAATTGTTGAGATTTATAAGATCAAAATTCCTGATTATTAGTGCACTCCATGTAAAATCAAAGAAATCTTCAGAAAAGATGCATTATTAAAGAACTCAAATGCTGTGAGCATTTTTAATTCTCAATAGTTTTATAGTATTTTTTAGACATTAAAATGATAAAAACTTATACAAACTAAGAAAAAGAAAAGAAAAAAATAGAAAGTATGAAAAATAAAAAAAAATAGGAAAAAAGAAAAATAAGAATATAGTAAAGAAAAAGAAAGGGACCATATAATGAAATGATTTTCTCCTTCATCACAAGTATAAATAATTTTAGTAATTTAGCACCTTCTCTTAAAATATAGCAAATGATATATTTTTCCATATTTTATATATTATTATCTATAAACAAATTCATAAAAGCTTGTCATTCAGCCCTAGTCAGCAAAAGTCAATCAAGGGTTACCACAAAGGGTTATCTATTTTAACCTTGATAAAATAAAGCAACCTTATATTCCTTCCTTTTGCTTCCAATAATTATCTTAATTTTTTTACTCCCTTCAAATAATGTCCTAGATCTTGATAAAATTTTATTTTTCCTTTGTCCCTTCTCACAAAATTCTTAAAAACTTTAACAAGTCTCAGATATTTTCTCCAATATAAAAAAGTTACTCAGATTTCTCTGCCCCCCCAGCTTCTCACAAATTCCTTTTAATTATTAACACATCCGCCACTTTTATTTGTATATTCAATGCAGCATCATTTTACATATGCCTCTTGTGATCTGTCATTTTTAACATGCTGGTATATTACCAAATATAGAGGGTTTTTTTTTAAAAAAATGATTTATATGCCGCCCTTCTCCGAAGACTCAGGGTGGCTTACAATGCGTTAAGCAATAGCCTTCATACTTTTGTATATTTATACAAAGTCAGTTTATTGCCCCCACAATCTGGGTCCTCATTTTACCTACCTTAGAAAGGATGGAAGGCTGAGTCAACCTTGAGCCTGGTGAGATTTGAACTTGCAGTAATTGCAGGCAGCTGATGTTAATAACAGTGCTTTAGTCTGCTGCGCTACCAGGGCTCCTAGTTGATTGATAGTCTGACATTTCTAAATCCACTTTCAAGTCAGTCTTAATCTTATTTGATAAAACTTGTTCCTCTTCCATAACATTTTTAATCACCGTCTATGTATAATGGCAGCCACTCTTAAAATTAACTTCTGGGCTCACTGTTCACAAATATTTATCAATATGTCCAGTATTAAAGTATTTTGCTCCATTCTGTATTAATAAGTCAAATTTAAGTGTTCTTCTCCATTAGTTCATTCCAGTTCCATCTAGGGGAAGGTCCAAACTTCAAAGTCCTATTCTATCATTTTAAAAAAAGTGTAATGACAGCATTTTCCTACAGGACAGATGCTTATAATTTCAAAATCTTGTTTAAAATCAATCTCGTCCCTTAGTCAATATGTAACTTTCCTAAATCAATGTTCTAATCACTCTTTTGCAGTTTATAAAAAAAATGTCAGTCCTTCAACTTTTATTTAATATTCCTTTCAGAAAGGATTTGTCAGAGTTTGTTGCAGAAATCACATCCAGAAAGCACACACAGATAACTGATTCAGCAGGATTCATTAACTTCTCTTTATATACATCATAACACATACAATACCAACAGCAGATTCTTCCAACTTGGTAGAGAGTTACAGACAAAAGACACAGGCAGGGGAGAGAACAGCAGAGATGAGTTTCAGTTTCAATTCAGCAGACAGACTCAGAGCTACAGAGCCACGCCCAGGCTCCTTCCTGTTTCAGTTTCCAAACAGTCCTCATTGGCTGATCTGCTGCCATGCCTATTCATTGGCTGACCTTGTTACTATGCCCTATTCCAGTTCATGAATATTCTGACAGGATTGAAGTAAATTCACATTCGAAACTTGTACAATTTGTTAATCCAAAGGTTTCTAAAACAGTTAACAGTTAAAGCAGTTGATAAGCTATTTGCAAAAGTGATTAGAAAAGTAGCATGTGAACCCAGTGTCCTTTTAAAGGTGCCAAATATAGCTTGAGCAAGATGGCTATTCCCTCATTTCCCAGAGCTCTAAACCCATCAGAGATTACTATCTTATAATTTCTTCACAAGGATCAACTGTTTGGAGGACATGTGGATCCAAAGTCCTCTTCTTGTTCTGAGAGGAATTCCAAACAGCTGATTCATTTGTTGGCTCTTCATTCCACCGTGATCATCATATTTGCTCTCATTGGAGCCATATTCAGTTCACCAATTTTTCCTCAGAGGTTTAAATGTTCAATACTTTTTCATGAAACTTTTAGTAATAATTTATTAGAGAGAATGAGAGAGAGAGAGAAACCAGTAAGCAGCCAACTGCCTCCTTGTTGCTTTAGATCAGGGGTGTCAAACTCACATCGACGCAGCAGCATCATGTGATATATCAGGACTTTTTCTCCCTTTGCTAAACTGGGCATGGGCGTGGCCCGTGCATGACGCATCCAGCCCGTAGGCTGGGAGTTTGACAGTTCTGCTTTAGATCATCAAGTAAATCTCTTGTACATAAAGTCTTATATTTAAAATCTTTTTGAATGATACATTTTTATTTAAGAGGATCAGCTATGAATAAAACTCAAAATATACTTTGAAATATGTTGCAAATTCACAGGATAGCAAAATAAATATGTAAAGTTCAAGATATGAAAATGACTGTATTGGCCCTCAGTAAAAAAGAAAACACTGCCACAAGAGTGAAGAGACACAGTCTGTGGCCACAGGTTATATTTGGTCTCCTAAAGTTATGGGTGCTCCTCCAGATGTTGGCCTTCATAAAATATAGCTCAAAAGCCAGATGTGTCTCTTGTTTGAAAGAAGGTGCTCATAATTTTTTGATCCAATCTAGCTCATTTTTCTGATGTTGAGGAATTATTATTATTGGTTAATCTTTAGTGAGATTCACAGCCTTTGAGGCTGGTTAATAGCTCAGCAGCTCGAGTCCTAACCAAGGACCTAGGAACTGTTAAGGTATCGTCGGAGGATGTAAGCTGTTCCGAATAAGGTGGTTTTTTGTAGAGTCAAAATGTTCAAGTCCGGTAAATTTTGAATTTCTAAATAGTGGGGTAGCCCTTTGGGTATTGCTCCAAGGGCTCCAATTACAATCGGGACAACACACGATTTCTTTTTCCACAGTCGCTCAACTTCAATTTGAAAGTCCCGGTACTTTGTGATTTTTTCTTGCTGCTTATCTTCAATCCGTGCACCACCAGGTATTGCAATGTCAACGAACCATACTTTTTTCTTTTCAACTATTGTTATGTCAGGTGTGTTGTGGACCAAGTGCCTGTCAGTCTGAATCCTGAAGTCCTACAAGATCTTGAGTTTCTCATTCTCTAAAACTTTCTCAACCTGATGTTCCCAGTGGTTTTTGCTGTACTCAAATCCAAACTTCTGGCACAATTTCCAGTGAATGATCTTAGCAATGCGGTCATGGTTGTAGGTAGTTAGTTTGTGAAATTTTGCTGCACCCACTAATCAGGTGGTCAACTGATCTAGCTCGTTTTTCTGATGTTGAGGAATTATTATTATTGTTATTGTTATTGTTATTTTGCTTTTTGTTTTATTATTTCTTGTGGAGCTGTCAGGAATCATGAGGAACTGATTCTAGACAACAATAGTCTAAAGAAGTTAAAAAATATAGTCCCATAATCATTGAGCAATTCCAAAGGATGTGATCACTGTTTCATCAGGGTCTTTTATTTTCACTGAATCTGCCGACTCTCTCTTAGAGGCCCACTTTATGGCTCTTTTTTTTCTGAGATGGCCTTTAATTCTGGTATTGGAGAGCTACTTGTTCTGATATCACTACTCTTAATATAAGTTTGGCACCTCATGAATCCACCCTCTTTGCACGAGCTTTTAACAGTGGTATTTTGTAACCTTGTTTATGTATATTGTACTACCTTATTGATTAACTGCTGCTGAGCGCTATTTTTCCTGTTCATACTGTTGCACAGGAGATTGTTACTTCTTGCTGTGTACTTTGGCTGTATGTAGATTCCTGTGAAAATGAAAAACAAAACAAAAACAGATAATAAATATCAGAAATAAATAATTTTATGAAGCAAAACTGGCCAGGACTCCAAAGCTGAAATCTCATAGCAGGAGAGCTTATTCATGCCTTTCTGCCTTAATTTGAATCTTCAGTTATTTCTGCCCTGCCACATACAATGGTCTTGATTTAAAAATAAAAGAGAAAACAAAACAAATGCAAATCTAGATCCTCTTAATTCTTAAACCATGCTGTGCCAAACGCATTCTGAAAGCACCTTCTAATTAGGAAGCTCACAGAGCCCTAAAACTCGGCTAAGATGCAGAGATTTTCAGAGTAAGGACTATTGGACTGGAGGGCTCTTTGTTTGGAAACTGACACAGCTGAGTCACCCAGCGGATCTATCTTACCCAAACAATACAGAGCAGCCAACAAGTTCTGAGGGGAGGGGGCATCATTTTCAGGTAGCTTTACACTGGGTCATTCCAGCCTTCCCAATTGATTTTGCACGCAAATCCTGCATTGTGCAGCTGCCAGGGACTGTCACTCAATAACCCATTCAGAAAGAAAGAGGTCCAAATCAGAAATGAATATAGCCAGCAAGGGCACTTTATAAATAGCAAAGGACATGCATTAGAATGGCTTTCTCTCTCTGGAGTTGTTCATCAGTAGTTAAACAGTTTCTCAGATAGTATCAAGAGATACCTACTTTCCACTTAACAAGAAAAAAAAATACTTTTGGCAGCAGGTTTCATAAGCAATTTTTTCTCTCTCTCTCTCTTCGAATGTATTCTGTTTTACTTAGAAATATTTGGCAATCAGGTAGATGATACTTTTCGAAAGCCACCCCACATCCAATGACATGTGACTGCTGAATAGTTTTGAGTTCATTAAAAAAAAGTGTTTGTTTGCTGTGGGAGGCATTGCTAAAGAGAAACTTTGAGACAGGAGGCAAAAGATAAAACAGCTTTGCAAATGAGATGCTGAGAACATTGCCAGCACACTGACCATGCTTGTGTGATGTTTTACTCTGGGACCTCTTCACAGGATTCTGATGTCTCACAATATGACATCTTGGTAATACACTGAATATGCATTATTTAAAGGGCCTATGCCACCTCTGATATGCCTTTACTCACATTGGGCTCGGCAGGTATCCACCAAAGCTTCAAGAAGCTTGAGGGTTGCTGCGTGCATTGCAAGTTCAAATCTGTTTAAAGAATAAAATCGTAGCATAGCAACTCCAGAGTTCTTTGGCATCACACAAGGCGATAAAACTTTAAATCTACTTTCACTGACTTCTGGTTTGGAAGTACATTAAAGGCCAGTCAGTCTGCCACTGTTTTTAACAACCTGGCATGCCAGCAAGAAGTACAATCAATACTGTAGTTATTGAGTAATTATGGGATATGCCCAGAAATATAAACATTGGGGTATTTCAATAAGACCTAATAAGTAATAATGGTGTTCGATGAAAAAGAAGATAATCAGAAAACAAAACAATCATAATGTAGCTGACTGGCAACAAAATGATTATGGCCAGGAATCAAAAACCACTCTAATCAAATGCAAATTATCAAAATAGTTGCTTAAAAGTGGAATCAAACAGCATAACTCTAAAGAGTGATATCCCATTTTCTGCTTCTTTTTTAGCTCTATGCTTCAATAGTCAATGAATGGCCATTTATATGCTAATCTTCACAGAGACAGTTTTTCCCACTCAAAGTCTTAATTTCTGTTTAGTGATAAGTAATAGGGAAGCCTAATTTGCACTAGAAAAGTTAAACTTTTGTAATGTACACATTGCTCAATAGAGCTATTATTTAGCAGGTGCCAGGATAACAGATGCCACTTATGCATGAAGTGTTAGATTCTCTGCACACAAAAGAGAGTCTGCCTTGCATCTGCTGTATAAAATGGCTACAAATTCCCCGGTAAGCTCTCCCACCTGAGAGATAAAACCTCCCACTAATATGGTCAAGTTCTATAACAGAACTACTTACAGTGTCCTAGAGAATCTGATGGCCTGGCTAAGGTAGCCACTGCTTCAGTGCAGCTTAGCCTACTGTAACTAATTGATACCCTATATTGTTCTAGCAGCAATGTCAAAGCAATGTGATGATCTGGTATCATCATTCAAAGTGCTCATTTGGGAGAGGAGGCAGGGAAGCTTTCAGAAGCTGGATAGGTGATAAATTGTCTTTATTGTCCAATAGGAATTTGCTCTGGTGCTGAATTCCATCGATGAGGTTCTCCTAAGTGTCCTTCCATTGTCAGAACTGTATATAGCAAGAATATACCTGGCAAAAGTATGTCAACTTTGTTTTTGTTGGCATTCTGTTGAGCTGTGAAAACATTTCTGTGCCTGGTTATTTCCATGCTAGTGACTCACATCATTTCATAGCTTCACGCTGTCACTATTGAAGTAATATAAAGCACATCCTTATTGCTATTTATTATTATGGCACAAAAGATGGCTGAACAATGGTAGAAGACACTCCAAATTACTGGTGCAAAAATTACTGTTTTGTGATTAGTGTTTAACTAGTCTTAGTCTCAGCCTTTCTCTCATTCTCCCTCTCTCTCTTCTTATCAAATTAACTATGTATCTAGCATCAAATTTGCAAATGACACCAAGCTGGCAGGAATAGCCAACACTCCAGAAGATAGGCTTAAGATACAGAAGGATCTTGACAGACTTGAACATTGGGCCCTATCTAACAAAATGAAATTCAATGGTGAAAAAAGTAAGGTTCTACATTTAGACAAAAAAACAACAAACCCAAATGCACAGATATAATATAGCTGGTATCTGACTCAATATAGATATAGATATAGAATTCTTTATTGGCCAAGTGTGATTGGACACACAAGGAATTTGTCTTTGGTGCATATGCTCTCAGTGTATATAAAAAGAAAAGATACAATAGTAGTAACTGTGAGAGGGATCTTGGAGTCCTAGTGGACAATCATTTAAATATTAGCCAGCAGTGTGCTGTAGCTGCCAAAAAAGTCAAAACACTACTAGACTGCATTAACAGGGATAGAAAAAAGATCACATGAAGTATTAATACCACTTTATAATGTCTTGGTAAGATCACACTTGGAATACTGCATCCAATTTTGATCACAAAGATATATAAAAAGTAAATGTATGTATATATGTATGTATATATAGTTCGTTATAGATATTATCAAAGATGCCGGTATCGGAAAGCTGTAAAAATGAAACAAGGATGTTAAAGATATAAATGTTGAATAAACATTATTTTTTTTAAAAAAGATATAAAAAAAAAGATATTGAGACTCTAGAAAGCGTGCAGAGAAGAGCAGCAAAGATGATTAGGGGGCTAGAAGTTGAAAAATATAAAGAACGGTTGCTGGCATTGGGTATGTCTAGTTTAATGAGGTGACATGATAGCAGTGTTTCAATATCTCAGGGGTTGTCATAAAGAAGAGGGAGTCAAGCTATTCTCTAAAGTACCTGAAGGCAGGACAAGAAGCAATGGATGGAAACTAATCAAGGAGAGTAGCAACCTAGAACTAAGAAGAAATTTCCTGACAGAACAATTAATCAGTGGAACAACTTGCCTCCAGAAGTTGTGAAAACTCCAACATTGGAAATTTTTAAGAAGAGAGTAGACAATCATTTGTCTGAAATAGTATAAAGTTTCCTGCCTGAGCAGGGGGTTGGACTAGAAGACCTCCAAGATCCCTTCCAACTCTGCTATTCTATATATTTTTGTATACTAGTAAGTTTTGCTAGATCCTTCAAATCATGGCCTGTGGAAGTGTCAACCATCAAGAGAAGGGAGCATTGAGGAATTTATTAATTCCTGGTGCATCCAGGTAGCTAGGAACGCCAACTTTTAATGATCTTGGAAGCTAAAGCAGGATTTGGAAGGGTTAAAGTGTGTTGTTGGGTGTGTGTGTGGGGGGAAGTCCTGAAAGAAGTCAGTGTTAAACTACAGACATTTCTATGAACTCACCAGGATCCAAGCTCTCAATTTAGAGACTTCACTTTTTGATTCCAGAAAAAAGACCGAAACAAATTCTACCCCTATATCCAAGAAAAAAGTTTACGTAGTCTCATCATATCTACAGAATATCATTTCTCAATCTGTTTCCCATTCACTTCAAGGGAAAAAGCAATGTTTGGATGTGGAGACTGGGTTTTTCACTGGATGTGCCAATTACCATGCACCCCATTTTAAAATTGGGAAAGTTATCTTTTCCAAATAGGACTGATTAGACAATTTCTTGTACTATCAAATTAACAAACAATGCAACAAATTCATACATGAATATAAGCAGTAAGGCAGCTGTTTGTAAACAGGAATATTCCAGAGCACACAAGAAACAGAACTATGCTAAATTATTCAGAAAGTCCATTTTAAAGTTCTAGTCTCAAGGTTCATCTTTTTTTTCCTGCCAGTGAATTTTGTAATGACATGCTTTTATCAGGAACAAAAAAAAACAAAAACAAAAAACCATAGTGACATTTGCAAATAAATAAATGGTACTGTGATGCAAAAATCAACTATTCATCTCTTCCATGACATTCAAGAGGCAGAGATAGCATTCATAAACTTTCAAGCTTCGCTGTTACTTATCTCTACTTTAAAACAGTATTTTGTTCCCAGTCAATCTGTGTTTTGTCCAGTCAGATTTCTTGATGGTCAGCATGCATTGAAAAGAAAAGATACAGTGGCAGTTCATATAGATTAAATGCTTTTTTGACATTTCTTTCAAGCAGTACATCCAGACTGAATTATACGTGTTCGGGGAGAAACTCATATCATGAGAGAAGCAAGAGGTCTATCCAGAGAAGGAGAGCAAACAGGAGAACAAGAAAATTTGGTTCCCAGGCCTGAGGTCTGGTTGTCATGCATTAAAAACAATGTGTTAACGTGAGATAAGATGGTCTCCCCAAACTTGCTCACAAAGCTAGGGCAACATTTCTCAACACATCATCATGTACTATGATGTGTCTCTTGAAATTTCCTACT